TGTTTCTTGTGATTTTTGAAGTTGATTATTAGTTTGAGGTCTTTTTTCTTGATGTTTATTACCATTATTAATTCCTTTGTGTTTTCTTTTGTGTTCAATAGATCTATGTTCATTCTGGCATGTTTCTTGTGATTTTTGATCTTTACATTTATCATCATCACCAAATAAATTTACAGGTTTTTTCAAATATACCCAGTCCTTGTCATGTTCCACCACAATTTGTTCGAAAAATGAATTATGTTTGGTATTAAGATGATGCTCCATATTTTTTGGTGAATAAAGATGAATGCGTTCTTCTCCTTCGCAATCTAACAACATACATCTAAAAATTGGTGCTTTGATACCCATGATAATTGCAGATTTTATTGTAATAATATTTCCTTCAGGGAAATAAGAATCAAGTTTTTTTGCTTCTTTTACTAGCACTGGTACTACTTGCTCTTCTAGATATCTCTGAATAAATAGTGTAGGCATCACCTGATATATTGGTGGGTCCTTATAACTACAACAATGTTAAAGAATAATATAGAGGTCAACCTGAGAGTATATAAGAGGGTTATCTATCTCTTCAAGGAATGTTTCAGCAACTTGTTTATTAGGTCCAAAGCGAGGTCATTTTTTTAACAAGTATTTCAAGATAAGTTCCTGTCAATGTGGCTTTTCTGCTTCATAGATTATTTGATTTTTTAATCTTTTCCAGTAATCTTTTGGAGGTTGCTTATCAACCTCAGCAAAATGGAAGATTGCTCTTTTATATGAGGTGAAATGAGTTTGAATATAACAAGATCTGTAGTTTAATGATAATTTCCCCTCCTCAAGAATTTTACCAATGAGTTTGTTGATTTTTTCATATATAAACTGCATTCTTTATTGCAATCATCACATTCTTCCATGAATTTTGTTTGAACCTCAAGCATTTTTTTTACTTTCCTCATCATAAGTATTAACAGGTTTTAATCCATATTTTCCAACATAAGAATGTCTTCAATGAGATCTTTTTCCCAGAATTGTAAAAGGGGCCTGTATCCAGTAACCTTCATTCCATATTTCTGAAATGAATGAGGTAATCCTGCAAAGAAATCATGACCTTTAATAGTCTTTTATCTGAAATTGTTAAATAAATGAATGAATAAATATGATTATTTAATCAATTAAACTTTATATAATTAATTAAACTTTATATAATTACTTACTCAATTATAGTGGTTCTTGCACAGTAACATCTAGTGCAGCATTTTACATGAAGCTGCCAATGTATTTCAGTTGATTTAATAATACCACAAAACATGCAAGATCTAGGTGAAGCAAGGAAGAATCTAATATATTGTAATTCATTCCAGCTTGGCGGTGGAGGTTGTTGCAATCCTTTAAAGTAAGCCAATCTCGATTTTTTTCCAAATTTGTTGGGTTTCCATCACATTTATCCGTTAAGATAAAATGGAATCTTGAACATGTTTGCACCAGTGCCAACAAATCGGATGGTGGTAAATCTTCACAAATATTTCAAGGGGTATATTTGAGAAAAGTGCCACTTGTTTTCTTCTGATGGGATATTTACAAGATTCACACCATATTTATCTATAAATTTTTTGTCAATATTGGCATACTCGTCAAAATTCAAACTATACTTTAGTGGTAAAAAATGAGATTTTCTAATATAATAATAAACAAATAAACAAATAAATAAATAAATAAATAAAAATAAATAAATAAACTAATAAATAAAATAAAAATAAATAAATAAAATAAATAGGGCTTTTTGAAAAAAATAAAACATACTCTTTATATTGATTCTGATTAGCACCATAATAAGCTCTTAATGTATCATATTGGAGACAAAGTTCTGAATATGAATTAAACACATTATCAATTTCCAATTTTTTGTACTGAATTTACTGCCTCTGCTACTTTTCCAGGATGAAATCCAGTCCAGACCGGGAATTTAATATTATCAGCTACATAATCTTTCAAAGTTAAAATAGTAGTATTCATTTTTGTATTGATAGATATTGGTTTGTAAATGAGTTAAAAATGAGTTGAAAGAGTTTGTTGAATCCTTTTTTTTACGCGAAAACTTTTTACTTTATAATAACAGGTAATATAGTATATAGAGTTTTTAAAAAAGGGGTATTTTCAAAATATTTCAAATATAAATTATCTAGAGTAACACAAACATTAAGATGTAAAAATTTTATTATATATTTAACAGATAATATAAATAATAAATTAATAAATAATAAATAATAAATAATAAATAATATATAGTCTATTTATAATTCTAATCATTCTTGTTTTGGAGGTAAACTTAATAAACGAAGATGCTCAATATGCGAACCAAAAGCATCCCAAAATGTATCCTACAAAAATAAGTATTATTTTTTAAAACGAAAAGATTTTTTTGAAAAATCAAATATTTACACGCGTATATAAATACTAATTAATAATTACCCTATAAAAATATTTAATACCAAATTCTTTACAAGTTTCTTTAACTATAGGAGCAATATCATGGTAATGATGCTGTGAAACTTGAGGAAAGATGTGATGTACAGCTTGATAATTTAATGAGCCAACCATAGTAGTCCAAAAGTAAGAATCATGAGCATAATCCTGCGTTGTTACAATTTGCATTTCTGCCCAATCCTTTTCTATAAATTTATTTTTATCCGGTAATGGCCTAAAAAAAAAATCAAAGATTAACAAGATCGAAAGTTTTTTCCTAAATAATTTTAAAAAAATTTTACTTACCATTCAACTTCTTCGACAACGTGATTTGCTTGAAATGTCAATGATAACCAATAAGAAGTAATCATATCAGCAATGACAAACAAAATTAAAACTTTCCATACAGGTAATAATAACAATGGTATTATTATGCGATATAATATGAAAAATGCCTTAGAAAATTTATTTTTTTAGGAAAAAAATCATTAATTAATAATAGCAATAATTGATATATTAATCAATATTAATATAATAAAAATTACCTTTCCGCCCCAAAATATTAAAGTGTGAGAAGTGGTCAAGGGATTAATTCTGATGTTATCATTTGATTTGAGAATATAAACTATAATTATATCTTGAATTCTAACTTTAAATGCTAATAGACCATATAAAAACGGCACAAAAACATGTTGATTTATATATCTGGAGTACCAACGTTGACTTGGTTTAATACGACGAAAATCAGGATCAGCTGACCATTATTATGATATGATATGATAAACAATTAATGGATTATGCATATTTCATGTCTTCTTTTTTAATTCTTGGATATATTATATATATAATATAATTAATTAGATAATTAATATGTAAATTTACCAGTTACAATGTCGGGATCAGCGCCTAATGGTATTAGGAATACCAATTAAATAAATAATAAATAATAAATTGAATAAATCATAAATTGATTAATAATAATAAATTGATTAATAGTAATGATAATCATACCAGCAATGTTTGTATATATGTGATGGCCAAGACCATGTTGGTATTCCCACACAAGATGACTATTCATTATAAAAAAAAATATATATTTAATTATAATTACATACATAAGCATATAATAATATTATTATAACACAATATGAATAAAGAACGTACGATGCTCCATTAAGGAAATCATGAGTAGAACCCAATATTTTCCAAATTAATGGACTACTTGTTACTATTAATTAATTAATTAAATGATATGACAAAAGGTTTATTTTGGAATAAATATATAATATATAAATGATTTAGATTTACCTGAAAAATGCGATGCGTCATGTAATTGATTTAATCCAATCTTTTAGTTCCCATAATGGAGAAATTATTAAAAAATATTAAATAAGCCACAAATACACATCAATATTTTTTTTACCTGTGCAGATGCAAATCCAAATACAATCGCAAATAAAATTTGTAACCAAATTCTTTCCACAACATATTGCAAATAAAATTGGGCATAATACGAAGCAAAAAGAGTTATAAAAATATTGGCATAACGAATCCAAATACTTGATTTATTCTATATATATAAATAACAACAAATAATTTTTTTAATTGATAATCACGTGATACACACAATAATATTTTTTCCTCTTACCTTTGGATCGATTTTATTTTTTCTAAAATATTCCTCAACTCTCTAAAGTAAAAGCATTTAAATAAATTAAATATATACACAAATGTATAAGAATGATCGAGGATAATAATAATATAGGCACTTTTTTAACTGTTCTATGGAATTCACTTGGTTCAGGAAATATAGGTAATTCATTACTTGTTAATATTCCAACAAAATGTTTTCTAGTAAAATAAAAAAATTTAATATCAAAAAAAAAAAAATAATAAAAATTTAAATTTGCATTTAAATAGATGATTGATTACTTTAGTATGAGATCAGGTTTACCAAGTTCATGATAAGTTTCAAAAGCCTAAATAATGATCACACGAGGGGTTTTTTAAGAAAAATATTGAAAAAATTCGCTTCGTTCAAAAATATTTTGGAGGGTGCCATTAATTACCTGGGTTGCATCTCTGCCAGCGGCAAATAATAAAATATCCTCACCACCAGGATGATATTTTATAAAATTGGTAATATCATAAACATTACCACGAATTGCAACATATGCATCATCAGATTTATTATGTTTAGATAATTCTTCCCAAGTAAATTTTTTACAAAGAAAAGAATTTAACGATGATAATTTTTGACGCATATTTTTTTTTATAATTTTAAAGATTGTTAAAGAAATGAATGCTTGTGAGAGAGAAAATAAATTTAATTATAAAAAATAATAAAATTTACAGTTATCTCATATTTATAAATGAGAGGAATAATAACAACAACAAATAATATTAATTTTATCAGATTTATTTATTTTCAAAATTAACAATTTTTTATTGATTGATAAAAATGCGAAATTTTCAAAAAACAATACCAAAGCTTAATATTATATATTTTTTTGATTTAATATTATATAGAGCTAATTTCGATTCTTTTTTAATTGGAAAAAAATTTTACATACATAATATATATATATATAATGCATGTAATTTATGTAATCAATAAAAAAAAAATAAACAAACAATATTTAGTAAAAATATTTAATTGAATTTTTCTAAATAACAAAGAATACATACACACACACATGCGGATAAATATTACACTCGATTGTCCAAATTTTGTATGTGACAAATAACAAAAACTGATCTGATCGGCATCTATCTACAACAATAATATATATAAATAATATTAATATTGTATATGCGTGATTGATTGTATTTAAGCTATTACAATATTAGCCGAAATTGGTTGGTTTTAAAATCGGATTTACAACGTTTTTCGTAAAAAGAGTTATACATGAGAGCATAGGGTACCTCAATATATATTCTATATATATAGTTTCTTTACATGGGTGTTTTAGGACCCCGAACAATCTTAGGAGATGGTACATTTGAAAAAAATACCCACTTTATTACCATTTTTGGAAATGAGTTACAAGATCATCACAAAATTTATCCTAATTAAGAAATGATATTCGATTTTGAGGGCCATTTCTACTCAAAATTGAAATGCACCACCATCTCCTAAGATTGTTCGGGGTCCTGATGTTTTCTTATAGAGTTTCTATATAGTCATGATTGGCAAAATCAGCGTATATAGTTGCATTTTTCACGTGATATTAAACTATATTTAGAGAGATTTACATAAATCATTCAATTTTTTAAATTTTCACAATGGTTCAACTCATGAATGTTAAATATTCAAATTTATTATTCAGGCAAAAATAAACTATATTGTTCACATGTTGCAAATCGTGGAAGAAAACCTGTGATAGATGAATAGTTACAAACTCAAGCTCATGCCAGTCTTCAATTAATAATAATAATAATTTTCATCATGTAACTTTACCAACATATTAAGGAAAATAATTGAAAACAAAATTTATTCATGAATTAGTTAAAGATTTGCTTTGGCAGACATACCATTAAAAAGAGTAGAAAAGCTAAAACTTTTTCTAAAAGGTAATTGTCAGAATGATTTTTTAAAGAAAAAAAATATCAAATTGTTTTTTGGTTGATTTACTGTACTTATTCACAAAATTCACATTATTTAATAAATTAGATGGATCAATAGCTAGTGCAAATCAACTACATGAGGAGTATTTGCTTGAATCTGGAATTAGTAATTTAAAATTATTATTTAATCTCAATCATGATTGATGAAACAACTGACAACTGTGGAAGGAGGCTAATGTTTTATTAAAGATTTAACTATTTATCAGCATTGGCAGGAACTTATGTTTGATGATAAAAGTTGTGCACTTTCTAATAGATTTATTGAAATGCTCAAAGTTTTTATATTTCAATAAGGATATTTGTTAAAATCAATAAAATTTCATTTTATATTGTTGTTCATAATAATCAGCTCAAGCTCTCAGAGCACCTCTTTCAGCACTTCAGTTATTCAACTTGTCAAACCTCTTCATCCTAATTTCTTTGTTCATCACTTGGTGCTTTATCAGTAGAAGATGTTTTATCCTATTATATGATCTTTTGTTTCTGTGTTACCAATTTTATCAATCAACACCATTAATATGAGAATTAAAAAATTATTGATTGGAAATCATGCGAGTTGTGATTATAAAGAGGTAAAATACATATTAAAATATTAAAATATTTTTGGATAAACAAAATAGAGGTTTTTATTCATTTACTATGCTCAAATTCACAAATGTGGATATTTTTATGTTATAACTTAGACTTGTACTGGTTAAAAGACCAGTTAACATAAAATTATGATTATTTAACTTGCATTTTATCAAATCACTTGTTGAATTATTAGCAGAAGAGAGATTTGAATTTTTGTGTTTGTGTTGATAGAATTAATTTAAAGAGTTATTATTATTTTATTAAAACTCTTGAAATTGAAATTAAATAAAAAAAATCAAATTTTATCGAACGAATGAAATCTTTATTTAGATGGCATCATATCATTTTTTTGAATCTGGCAAATAAAGATTCTGAGATGTCAATTTGAAAATTAGTATTTTATTTCTTTTATTTTTATTATAGAGTTAACTTAAGTTGGAGCCTAAGAATAGTGAAATCCTAGCTAGGTAGGGCCAGCCAAAGCTGAGCAATATATATATATAAGAGTAAAGCCCAATGAACCAGGGCTAAAGTATAAAAGAGTAAAGCCCAATGTACCAAGGCGGATATTTTGGGATGTTACTGACTCAGGCAGATGACAAAGGACTGCTGAGAAAGTGTTATCGGGGGGGGGGGGTTAAAATGATTCCCGTGGATTAATAATCAAAGAAATATTAATAATATTGATTATAAAAGCAATTGCATTTTGAGTTTAGAAAAGATAAATAATATTGAATTTGTATTTGTATTGATTGTTATAAATAAAATATTGGGATTTACTGTTGGACACGGATTTTGATCTCACAATATAATTCTTGCTATCCAGTCTGAGTTTCTTTATTTAAACTTTGTAATTTTTTATCTTTATCTGTTATTAATTTGTCCAATAATGAGAATTTGATCTTATCATCTTCATAATGTTGTTCAATTAGATATCAAGAAACATCATTATTTAATCCTTTTCTAGTTGATCTATTTCTAGAAGGCATTATTTCGTCAAATATTGGTACTGAATCTGTTTAATAAAATTTTAAAATTGTAATTGTCATCATTCTTGTTATCATTGTTGTTAGATTGTGAATGTGAAGAAATTGACATTTCTAGATTTTGTTATAAAAACATATGTAACACACATAAAGATAATAAATTCGCAGATCTTTTTTATCATAAATTTTTTTTAAAATTTCTGTAAAAAAAAAAAAAAAGAAAATTATTAAAAATGTTTCCACCTTTGTCAAAATATCAAACATCAAACTTAACTTATACACCAGCATTTCAACGTGCTAGAAAACCATTTATAGTACGTAATATTTTAACTGGCATAATATTAGTTGGATTTGTTGGAGCTGTGTGTATCCTTTTCAAAATAAAAATTTTATTGATGTTATAGATTTTTGAGAAATTTTATTCTTAATTCAAATGATAATAATTAAACGTTGGATCATTAGATTCTTATACAATGTTTGCAATAAAACAAGATGATTTTAGTGATGCTCCAATACCAACACCATCATCATCATCATCTTTAATAGAAGAAAATAAGTCAAATAATAAAAATTTAAAGGATTAAAAAACTTGGTCAACAACTAATATTTATCATATATATAAAATTTCATTGATTGAAAAAAAAAGAGATGAAAATTTTAATCTTTAATCTCCAATTTGAGACCTCAAAATTTTCATTGGGATAATTAAATTTCATAAAAAACTTTCTTTTCCTTTCACCTAATTTTATATAATTTTGTTTTTTTGTAGGACATTCCTGTAATACATTTTGACGGAAAACATTCTTTACAATGGTCTATACAATAATTTTTCTAATTGTAGTTAATGATTTAGCAAAAAATCATTAAAATTAAAATTAATTAAAATTATATTATTCATCATCATCTTTATTTTCTTGAAGAACAATTCCAATTAATTTAATTATACCATGGATTTATTTATACTTGTATAGATTAATAATACATATTGTCCAATTAAATAATTTCACTCGGTCATTTTTACATAATCTAAAACACATACAGAATTGATTTATTGGTGGAAAAAAAAGAAATTCTTGTCTACTTAATCACGTGATACGAAACTGTAATAAAAACCATGATCGGCATTCAGATTAAAGAATTTACAATTCTTTTACAAAATGCTTTCCAATTCTATAAAAAATAATATAAAAAAAAAGGCATTGTTATTACGTATTATGACTCTTAGAAGAGATCCATCTTCTATAATACAAAAGACTAGTAATGAAACATTTAAAAGAGACGAGCAGAAAAAAGTAAAAGAACCTTTAACAGTTGAAAAAGAGGATTTGCCCAAAGGTTATACTACATCTTGGAGGAATGAAGAAACATTACCTGGTTGGTTAAAGCACAGGTTTGCGATTAAAGAAAAAATTGGATTTCAACCTTGGAGACCAAAAAAAAGATTATCAAGAGAAGTCATGGATAAAATACGTTATATGAACCAACAGGTATTTGTTAATTAATAATATTTTATGGATTTATCTATATAGATATTGAATTTATTGTAAAAACATTATAAAGTTACCTGAAGAGTATACAATAGAAAAACTCTCTTCTACATTTAGAATTTCACCTGAGGCAATTAACAGAATATTAAAGTCAACTTTCGTTCCGAAGCGTGAAGTGTCGGAAAGACAAGAAACAAAATATCAAGAAAAATTGAGAAAATTCAAAGAAAAGGCTAAATCAGAACAATTAAGGGAAAAAATTTTGTTAAAAGAAAGATCTGAAAATCGATTCGATGTCAAAAGAAACAGAAATATATCTCTGTATAAAAATAAAGAATATAAATAAAATAATTTTTGCAATCATTATTTGAAATGTGATATATCGGCCTTACATGAATCGGAATTTCTATTTTACATATGAATCACACGTTTGTTTACTTGACAAAAAAAAAAGGAAAGTTTAATATTAGGGGCAAATTTCGAGGAATCCATACTGCGATTTTGGCTTTTTTTATTGAAAAGCCCACAACAACCGTCAAATAATAATTTGATTACATGTTTATTACTTTCAATTTACAAAATTTAAAATCATACATTTTTTTAAAAAACAAAATATCTACACTCAAACAACCAATATAAAACAACCAAGGCTTATTGACAATATCATCATTTTTTCTTGTCATCGTCATCATCATCAGTTTTGTCCAAACAATTCCAATTAATTTCATCTTTACCATTAGCCTTCAAATATTCGTTGGCTTTTGACCAATGTTTACAATTAAAGAAACCTCGAGGAGCAGATAATGGCGAAGGATGAACAGCTTGTAGAACACAATGTTTTTCCTATTCATAATATATGTGTGTTTGATATTAAAAGTTAATATAATTTTTCATATAAACACTGTCTATTTAAATTTAATTATTACCTTGTTGATATTCTTTCCTTTTTTTATGGCATGATTTCCCCAAAGCATAAATACTAATCCACTTTTTTTATTATTCAGATATTGAATTACTGCATCTAGAAAATATAATTATTGATTATTCAATGAAATAATCTTTATATTGTATCATTTTTATAAATATATATTTTATAATAATTACCGGTAAATTTTTCCCATCCTTTATTGCTATGACTTTCTGCTTCATGTGCACGTACAGTAAGTGATGTATTTAATAATAAAACGCCTTCATTTGCCCAATTAGAAAGATTTCTAAAAAACATTATATTATTTACATTTGCATTCATATTCAATCAATATATTGATATAATAAATATTATTATTTATTTACCCATGATTTGGAATTTTAAATGATTCAATATCATATTTCAATGCTTTATATATATTGACAAGAGAGGGTGGTGGTGTTACTTTGTGTGGAACACTGAAGCAAAGTCCATGTGCTTGACCAACACCATGATATGGATCTAAAAAATCATAAAATTTAACTTATTAATCAAGTAATTACATACACATATATATCAATATTAATAATGATTAGGTACCTTGACCAATGATTACAACTTTTACAGAAGATGGAAGTGTCATCCTTGACCAACTATAAACATCTGGTTCTAATAATAAATTAATAATACATTAATATATATAATTTATGATAAGTATATTTATTATTTATTGTTGGATTAATTGATTAATACATACCAGGTGGGAAAATTTTACGATTTTTTTTTTTTTCTCCTTCAAGAAATTTCTTCAACTTTTTTTTCCCCAAATATAATAATAATATAAATTTTACGTGTTATAAAAAATTCTTTCCCAAATAAAAAACTCCTTATGTTTTCTAATTATTTCACCTCGATAAAATAAGGCTCTTGAATTTCCTTGAGCAAAATTTTTAACCATTCATTACTAATAGTTTTCAATTCTAAACTTAACAATTCCTTATTTTTAATTTCAAGTCCTTCAACTTTAATTGGAGGAGCAGGTTTTGGACTGAGCCAAGAAGTTAAGGAAGTTTGTTGTCTTTTGTTGCTTTTGACGCAAGAAGTTTTATTATCATCATTGCTACTTTCTTTGGGTCTCTTGTTCATTTTCGTTTGGTTTACAAAAAAATTTAAAAAATTTGAATTATATTTTAAAGAAAAAGTAAAATAATTATGAAGGAAGAAAGGTTTTATTAATATAATCGGAGGGACCCGTATCATCAAATAGTTCTTGCTTTGACACGTTTTTATGATGGTGTTTCAGTGAAAAGGATAAATTTGATCCCTGAAATTTCTTTGTTCAAATGTGTAAAATTTTTAGTGAGAAGCACTGGAACTGGAATTGGCGACGATCCTTAATATTAAAATCATGTATTTTCCGCAAAAATCATGAGAATATCCAATTTTATTGGTGGTTGGGTGCGTGTTATCCTTATTTAGAAATCGATTTGGCGATTATTATCAATGTTCTCGCTAAGGCTTCAAAACTAAAGAATTGGATTTCACCAAAAAATGGCTTAATGTTGATATGGAATAGAATCCCCTGCAAAAATTATTTATATTAAAAAATAGACTTTTTTGTTTTCCGACTCGCGTCACATTTCGAGAAAATTCTTTCGCGTTTATTTTTTGATAAGACCGTTCAAATTTAGAAATAGTAAAAATTTAAACATATTTAAAATTAACGGTAAAATTTGGAAAAATTTTTTTTTATTTTAATTGTAGTTTTATATTTGTTTGTGACTATAATAAATAGAAAATGGCATTTCTGTCATAAAATCTGGCATAATTAATATTGAAGAAACTAAAAAATTTTCAAAAAAGAAAAAAGATACACAGTTTCTTGAAGAATTACAAAATGGATTTATCGAAATGATGAAAATAACTATACTTGCGGAATAGAAGATTAAATGCTTACCTCACAGATGCTTCAAGATGTTGTCTTTGTTCATCAATTTATCACATATGATTCTTCTATTGAAAATGGATATTATTCATCTCGCAAAAAAAACCCACCTATTTGTTACTATTATGGCAGGAATAATTTATTAGTTGAGAACTTGCTGGTGGTAATTCATTTCATACTTGGGGGAAAAAAACAAAGTATCCAAAAGAAGAAAAATAAATGTTTAGTCATATGTAATAATGAGCTAATGAATGGATCTAATAGCTATTGCACTCACAATCCCTGATATGTACACATACAGTGTGTAACGAAAATAATGGCGGTTCACGATACAACATTATTTTGCATAACAAACAATAAGATGTGTTGTTTAACATGATTCGCATATCTTTACCAGCTTTCTTATCTCTCATCAAAGACATCTATAAAATAAAAAGCTTCGTCTACTTCTAGGAGCAGGCAGAGTCAAGCTGCCACTTATACTTGTAAGATACGCACTCTCATTGATCTACACTCCTTTAACCTAGGGTGGGTTATATGGACAAAGGCCCCCATTTAAAAATAACAAATTCAGTTAGTCAAATAAAAATTAAAGAAACAGAGAATTTAGGAAAATAATTATACAAAACAAACACTATTTTACAAATTTCCTCTTAACATCAAAGCCAAATGCAATTTCAGGGTCACCAGCCTCACTCTGAATTGTAACCTCATGTGCTTGAAACAAGCTGCAGGTTCTCTTAATATTCCTCCAGAGTTGCAACTTCTTGGACACAGATCCATCCTTACCCTAGAGGTAGGATCGTTGCAGTCAACTTGTCAGCTAACATGCCAGCCGTCTCTGGTCTGAGAAGATTAGTGAAAGCGTCATTGGCAATCGATGCAGTCTCGGTAAACTCCAGGGCCAAACACCCCACCCCTGGAATTCTGTTGCATCGAGGATGACCTAGTCAGATTAGCCTTGTGCACACGAAGATGACTGTAAAATGTTCAACACTTGTCAAATTTCCGATAATCAAACGTCACATATCGAAATGTTTCATATTTGAATTGTTTCTTTTTCTGCCTTGACATCTTGTAATTAATTATATATTTATATTAATGTCAATAATATTAATATTGATTACGAAAAGCCAAATACCAATTGTTTACCATCTTGATGAGAATCTTATAATTACCCAGCAAGATCTGCTCCGCGTTTTGATTTCAATAAGTAGGGAGCATAATGTTCTGCCGTCAACCCGGGTTATGTATCACTCCATCATGGAGTGGGTTAAGATTTCTAATTTTTTGTACTAACCCGGAGCAAAATATTTGTTAATTTTGATTTCTTTGTTCGCGAATTTTATTATGACAGAAAATTTGTGAAAATTTATATGAAATACTTCCAGATAGTGAGCCTGAACCATCAGGTGAATCATTATTAAATATAAATAGAGAATAAATTGATTTTTAGTCAAGAAGATAATGAAAGTTTAATTACTACTCCTACAACTATAACTACTACAACTATAACTACTACAGGTATAACTACTACAAGTACAACTAATACTATACAAGAAAATGAATCTAATTCATCAAACACTTCGCGCGAAACTTCTTGGGTTTGGGAATTTTTTTCAAAAGAATATAATGATAAACAAGAAATTATTACATATATTTGTATAATATGTAAAAATCGGTATATATTTTTTTTACTTTCTTTAAATGAGAATTATAATTATTGCTCCATGGAGCAACCCGGAGCAACCCATGGAGTATTAACCCAGTACATTTAACCTGGTTAACCTTTGCTCCACTATAATATGAACCCAACTCCCATTAACAACCCTATCAATAAGACATATCAATGCAAATTAAAAAAAAGTTACCTCTGGTTAGTTATTAATACAAAAAAAACAGGGGTACGCGTTTTTGTAAAACAAAAAATTATTTTTATAAAAAAAAAAAAACAATGTCTTACGACGAAAAAAAGAAAATTACTAGATGATCATAACCATGAGATCATTCATGGGTAAGTGTTGTTTATCGTAAGAATGGTGGTGGTGGTTATCGCCACCACTCGTCACTCTAGTTTTTTTGAAAAATTGGCATCATGGCGCAAAAAGTTCAGCGACTAAATGACTTGCACTATAATTGACTTGTTGCCTTTTATCATTACTTCAAGAAGCATACAGATATGAAGAGGTATCTTCATTATAACCTATTATTTTATCATTTATAATAAAAATTCACTATGATTAATCTAATTTTATACTCAAGGGAAATCGTGGTGATAATAATGAAGACACTGAGACTAACATTATCAATAACCAATCATTAAATAATATTCATAGAAGTAACAATCACCATCAACATCATCAAATCTCCTCATGTCATTCTCAAACCATCCCCGAACAAGATGTTGAATGAACAAGAAATTATTATTACTGCTTCAGAGGATGAGCCAGCTACCATTCCAACTATATTGGCCCATCAAAACTCAAAAGGAAAATGGACAAATCAAGAAGTAGGTATCCTTTTGAAATTTATTTTGGATAAAAAAGTTAATACTGAAAGAATTAAACAATTGGGGATTCATAGAACAAATGCAATATCCAATAAGGCAAGATTAATGAAACAACAGATAAAAAATTTATTTGGTGTTTAAAATGTATATTTGGCAATAATAATTTACAAATAAAAAAATCATTATAATGATTGTTGTATGTATAGTTTTTTAAAAGTTATGTGTAGTTTATAAAAACAACATAAATAATAATAATAAGCCAGAATTACAACAGGTATTCAATTATTTAAAGTTAAATAACAAAACTTTAAATCAATCCAAGTAAGGCTCTGAACAAATCAATGAAATTCAAATCAAGATCAAATCACCTAATTTACCTGAAATTCTTGGTAATACAAATGTTCACGTCTGGTATATATAAATCATGCAAGGAATGTTTGGCATAGCACGTGTGACTCTGGTAAATCACTACTAGCTCAAAAATTTTCCCAATGTGACAATACAAAATTAACTAATACTAATACGGTGATTCTTTATCATATAATAATAATGACGAACAAAATTAACTTTCACTTGACATGGTATAAATTTGTGAAATTATTATAGTAATAAATATTTCATTATTATTATTTTTTTATTTATTTTTTGGTAGAAAAAAGATGCATTGGAATATTGGCTTACTGAACATTTACGTGAGAGGTGTTTAACGGCTTTAGATCTGTCAGATCATTTCGACACACTTAATAGAGAAGATATAGTTAAATATGTGGCTTTTTATCAGCATGAAAATGGTGCTCAAATCACATAAACAAATAAATAAAAGTTTATTTATTACATATATTTGAAAAAAAAACCATCAAAGACTTATTTATCATTATATATTATTATCATTGATTTAGGAGGATTTGGTGGACAGATTGGTCATTATCCACATTCATTGTACACATTGACGCAGTTCAAATTTTAGTAGTAAAAGATTCTTTGGAATCAGTTAATGTTTATAAAATTGTTGAATGTTAGTTGACTATTCAACACAATTATATTTTTCCTGTTGTATGGCATTAACATATTTCAAAAAAAAAGTTAGATGTTGTATCTCGACAAGATCAAACCACCGGTGTTTTCACAGGGGATGAACAAGGAGAAATTGTTTAGATGCTGAGAATGTTCAAAAGGCAGTGGAATTTACAATATTGTGTAAGAATTTTTATGGCGGATTGGAAGTACGCCTGGTGCAAGATCACATGCAGGCTAAAGTTAGAATTTTTTAAAAAAAGGAAAATCATTAATTAGAAAATTTTATCAAAAGTTTTTTGTTGTGTTGGTGCGCTTTGCTATAGTGAATTCATTATATCTGGTTGATGCAGATTTGCTTTGTGTACGTCAATTAAAAAATGGAGGGTTAATTGAAAAATCAGAGAAACTTGAGGATGGTAATATTTTTTGTTTTTTTTACATTGATAACTTAATTTATATTACTTTAGTTATGTTATTCTTATCTGCTCTTAACCGATTAATAAAAGTAAATTAATCAGCCCAGCTACTTATATATAAATATATATAAAATTCAAAGTTATTTAAAAATATTTCTTTTGTGTTAAGACCTTTACCATTATTTCTATGCAGTATTGCTGATAGACCATGTGATGTGTTTCATACATTATTTAGGATTGTAGGTTATATTTTCTATTTTATTATTAAAAAAAGGATTATCGTTATTTGGTTATCTAGGATTGAAATTAGTAAATCCAGTTTATTGTTTGTCAAAACATATTGTTCAAAGAATTGGTTTAGCAGAAAAACATCACATATAATATATATACTTAATTATTCAGGAATATTATTATTTATCACAAACAATAATAATGGTGATAGTTAATTAAATATAGTTTATTATTATTTTTTTCCAATATATCAAAAAATTAAATTATTATAATATTATTATTGTTATTATTATTATTGAAAAAATTGATTTCTTCTTCCATTGCTAATAATAGAAAAATCATTAAAATATAATGTCCTCGTCATCATTTTTTTCCAATAAATCTCGAGGTCTTGAATCATATGAAGAATAATCTTCTATAAAGAGCAGTAAATATTAGAAAAATTTCAATTTTAGAAAAAACGAGGGGGGGGGGGGTAATATTAAATAGTTACCAGCATTTTCTATAAGTGAAAGCACTTTCTTTTCTTCTTCGGCTATCTTTTGATCTTTCTTCTTTTTACCTTGTACCTTTTTTAATCTTTTATATTGAAAAAAATAAATAAATAAATATTGTTTTTTTAAAAAAAGCCTGTTTTTTTCAATTCACCTAAAAAATTCTTCACGATCTTGTTCATCTAATTCAGAAATTATGTATCTGATTGTATTTTCTAATCTAGGTATAATAACATGTTCTATAGCATTAACACGGCGGTTGGTTACTTTAATGACTTCATCCAAAATCACAAATGCGGTCTAGAATGATGTAAATAATTATTTGTTCAAAAATATTTTTTCCTAAATTTCTAATTTTTAAGAAAATATTCTTACTTGCAATGAAGCCAATTCTACCAAAGTCTCCACTGCTTTAATATATGTCTCTTTACATTTGTGAACTTGTTGACCACCTCTTCCCAAACCAGTTAACTCAAAATCTAAAGTTTTATATCAATCAATTGGTGCATTAAATAAACAAATGTAAGATGTATGTATATGGTCAACAAACCATTTCCTCCCTCCATATAATGTTCAAAAACTGGTAACATGACACCAGAGACATTTTCTTGTTTGGTACGAACACGTAATTGAGCACTCTTGGCACTTTCTTGAACTTGATAACTAAATAACATAAAGCCGTATAATATTATAGTAATAGTAGTAATAATAAAAAAGTTATCGTTTCTTTTTTCTTTCCATTTAAATGAAAGCTCAAAATCTTGCTTTATTACAAAAATATTAAATAAACCTAATGTCGCCAGCAATATAAGTCACTTCTGCTAATGAAAATGAAGCTGTTTGCATAACTTTCCCCATCTTTCTTTTAGCCTAATTTACCCCAAACAATAAAATCTGTTTAATATTTAAAACAGCAATTTCAAAAAAAATTTTTAGAAAAATAAAAACTCTCAAACCTCATCAATTTTTTGAGTTATAGTTCGGAACCGTTTTGTTAATGCTTCACTTTTACGCTTTAACAAACTATGACCAGTTTGTGCACCTTTCAATTTTACCTTCATTGTTGTTAAAGCCCTAATCATATACGAAAAGGTATACTGTTAAGCTTTAATAATTCTGTTAACCCCAAAAATGTAATTAATAGTGGAATAGAAAGGTAGCATACATTCTGGTGGGGAAAATGTTAAGTCTAGGGCCTGTTCCTGACATTGTTTAATTCTTTTTATAATGTTAGTGATTTAAAAAAATTTAATAGATTTAGGTTTCAAAATAATGGTTTATTGTAAATGATCTAATCTGGATATCAATTTCTTGATAATCAAATAAATATTAGGTAACATATTATTTATTACTGTCACAACATATTAATATAATAATAATTAAAACACTGTTCCGTCAGATTTTATAGCAATAGGAGGTCCACGTGTCTTTGGACGTAAAGAAGCAGCAAGTTCTCTTCCAGCCTAAAAATCATATATAATTAAGAATTGCCCTGAATATTATCAGAAGGTTAGAAATCATCAAATAAAAATATCACGCACTTTCCATGTCCCTGCCTCAAGTACTTGAGCTAATGAGAGTTGTTGTTCAGATAAACCAAGGTGATCTCTAATTCTCTGTGCTACTATATCTAAAAGAATTACTGTCATGGCACGCCATTCAACCACTAAAGAATCATCAGCTTCGAACATCGGAACAACCTCCAAATCATTTTTTGAAAATTTTTTGGCGTAATCGAGACCACGATCCATATCAATTGATTTGAGAGTTAAAACACCAGTATCAACAAAGAGACCACCTTAAACAATTCATAATATATTTATTTACATGCAATTAATTAAATAAATGGAATTTACGTAAATTTTATGCAAATGATATGTATATATAGTTTAAAAACCATTTCTATATTCTGGCAATCCAGTCAAATGTTCTACTCCCTCAAATTTAACACCATATATTTTAGTGATCGGTTCCATAAGTGAATAAGTTAGCCATTGCGAAAGTTTGTGAAATGGAATAAGGTTTTCTGTAGGATCGTCGACATGTGCATCTGATGTTTTTTTAAGACCATCAAATGGCCATACATCTCCAAGAGAAATTCCTGCCACTGAAGTTCTTGTTGGAGGCCAGACATCTGAAAAACCATCAACAATAACTGACCATAATGTATCAATTTTTACCACAATATCATTCTCTTGTTTTATCGAATTTGATAAAAGATAATCTGTAATGATTTAAAACTTTTTTAAATGTTGATTCATTTATAATGGTAATAAATTATTGTTATTATAATTTAATACCTAATAAATTTCCAGGTCTTGGTGGCTAAAGATTCTTTGTGAGTAATAATTCTATTTGATATTTAATTTTACTGAAAAGATTATAACTATATTGGGTACAAATAAATATATCTATAAGACATACCAAATTATCATTTAATTTAAAAAACTCAGGATGATTTTTCAATGCATGACCCAACCTAACCAACAAATTAGAACGACCTTCAAGACCTGCCAAAAGGTTATTATCATTAACCTGGAAAGATTTACTAACATCATTTACACTAATATTTATCAGTTTGTCAGCTGAAATTTTAGATAAAATAAAATAAACATTATAATTGCCATTCAATGTGTATATATATTTGATATATAATAAACAATGCTCACCATTAACTTGATGTGGTTGATTTTCTTGACTAGAGAAAATGCCAGACTTAAACATATCCAATGAAGCGATAGCTAATCCTTCAGATCTATTATACACTTCACCGGATCCAATTTCCTTATAAGACCAAGTATTTCCAGCACCAGCATCTAACAAAACTGACACAACAAATAAATCAAGAATTCTCCGAGTTATTTCAAGTGTATCACAATCATCTTTCCAAGAATTGATCAGAGTCCAAATACGTGAATGTCCCCCAACATCAAAATGACGCCAACGGCCATGAGGTGGAATATCATTGATATTTTTATAATCACGCTTAATAAGTGAGGCCATTACATTAATAACCTCTTGGATATTTGATAGATTTACATGGAAATGATCAAGGTTGTTGGTTTCGCCCTTTTGATAAATTTTATTTGAACGTTCGCGAATGGCTCTTAAACTTTTAAGATAATTTATTTTTTCCAGCAAATCCAAATTATCGGCTGACATTTCTGTATTTTCTTGGAATAATGATGAACCAAAATAATGTAAATTTTCAAAAATAAGAATACAATTGCAATTGTTAATAATGTGATAAAATTGAATTCACATAATCCATATGCAATGATCTAGTGTAACATTAATGATTATTATTACGATTTTGTGTAATTTCTATGTTCCCACGACTGTCACGTGACTTCGGTCATAGTTTTAGATTTATTTTACCGTGCGCAACCAATAAAATTAATTTATCAAAAAGGTTCTTTTTCTGTATATAATATTTTCCATTTCGAAAATTTTGGGTTCATCACACACAAAATTTCTACATCCTAAAGATGGCTAGATCAATCATTGTACAATTACGAAAAAAATGTTTTGATATTTTCTGAAGGCAAAATCAATCATTGAACAATTACGAAAAAAATGTATTGATATTTTCTGAAGGCAAAATTAATAATTTCATTTAAAAAAAAATTGTGTTACGTATTAATATATACTTTCTTAAATTTTATTTATAAAGATGCATACATATAATTATAATTAATTAATTAATTAATAAATAAATAAATAATAATTACAACACAAGCACTACATAATGAAAAAAATCACATATGAACACACTGTATATGAGTATTAATAGGACTTCCTTTTTCTATTGTACATAATTCCAAAAGTTCTCTAGCTGCTGACAAAGATATACGTCCTTGTTCAATCATACGTTGTGATATACTGGAGACAGTATCAGTTGGACAACCGGCTGCTATAGCTAGATTTTTTGCGTGTAAACTCATATGGCCTCGTTGTATTCCTTCAGTTGATAGTGCTCTGAGAGCTGCAAAGTTTTGTGCAAGTCCTACACACGCCATAATCTTTTTTTAAAAAAAAATTAATTAATTAATTTATTGTTTTTATAATGTATTATAAAAAAATTTATAAATACCATTGATAATTCTTTAGTATTAGGATATCCCATAATTCCAAGGTTATATGAATAGACAGGGTTAGTTTTCAAGACACCGCCAGCAGTTCCAACAGTTATTGGCATTTCCAATTCACCACAAAACATTAATTGTTGTTGTTTTTGGTCATCACCATTGCCATTTTCATTTTTTTCGATCCAATAAGATGTTAAAGGTCGATAATAATTATAATCATTGCCATTATCATCAGCATCTTTATTGTTGTTGTTGTTTCTCGAATTATCACAAGCCCATACGTGTGCAGCAGCTTCGATGGCTCTCCAATCTTGACCAGTAGCAATGGCAACAGCATCAATTCCATTCATAATACCTTTATTATGGGTTGTAGCACGGTATTCATCTATTTCTGCAAATTCATAAGCCTCTATCATTTGATTAGCTACCTTTTCACCTGATAGATCTTTATAAGCAAGCATTGATACTGGTATAGAAAACGATGCCTGATAGTTTAGAAGTTGAATAGTTAATAGATGATAAAAAAATTATTTTATTTATTTAATAGCAATAATAATCATAGATTTATATTTATAGTTACTTTAACAATTCTTTCCACATTTAAATTGCTTACTATTCGTAAACCAATTCTACCACCTGTTATCTCGCTCAATAATGGTGCTACACCTTCAGCCACGCTACTTGCACAATTAGCTCCCATGGCATCACATACATCTATTTTCAAATGTATAATTAACCATTCGTTGGAGTTTGGTAGATGATTGTTGTTATTATTATTGTTACTATTATTGATATTTATAATGGGTCTTTTGTTTTTACGTGGGACTCTCCTAACATCGATATCTAATACTCCGCCACCTCTTTCAACCATATTTTCACAAAATTTATTAGCAAATTTAATTATTTCTATTTTATTATCCAATAACTAGTTTATTTCATAAAGAAAAGAAATCAAAAATCAATTTCAAGTTACGTAATTACAATAATATAATCATCTCAATAAATAAAATCAATATTACCTTTTTAATTGACAGGTTCATGGAATCTTCAGGAATATCTAAAAGAGCAACCTGAGCTATTATCATATTTCTTTCAGGAGCTATTGCTGTAAAACCTTTATAAGAGGATATTGTTTTAGCAGCTCCAGAAACAGCAGCAATGACTGATGGTTCTTCGATTGACATAGGTATAACTATTGGTTTATCATTGATTACAAAATTAAGAGCTAAACCAACTGGCAAACCTATTGTTCTATTTAATATAAATTATGTTAGTTATTATATAGGTTATAGTAATATTATAATTAATGATTAATAAAGGATATATTACCCTATACAATTTTCAATCATATTATCAGCAATATTTTCATCAAGTCCGTTGATAGGAAAATTATTATCGTTAACATTTAAAGATTCCAATTTGTTGACTAAATAATTGACTTCTTTATTATTATTTGTAAAATTTAAACTAATGGGTGAAGTACAAGGCGAAGTATTAGGTGTTGCGTATACTGAAGAAGAGGTGGATGATGGTGATAATGGTGCTTCTTCAGTGGCTCCTGTTGTTATTGTGTTATTGTTGTTGAAAACATTTGGAAAGACCAGCTTTACCTGATTTTGACGTTCTTGCAAAGGCTTTTTATAAAAGCCCGACCATGTTAAAGTGTCATTGTTATTAACATTTGTTTTGTGGGTGAATCGGTGTTGCATTATCGTTTTTGTAAACACTTTTAAAGAACAAGTGTTTTTATTTTCAAAAAAAAAACAGAAATTGAACCAAATTACCAACAATACTAATTCCTTTTATTTTATTTATTTACATTACCATTTTGACCATTTTGGGAAATTTTACATTTCTATATAAGTGCAACATAAAATTAGGTTAACCTTTTTTTCATACGTAAAAATTGTTCAAAATAAAGAGATATCTGGTATTAGAGATCCGTTATAAAGTGAATGAACTGCATTTAAAGAACCAATAAAATCATATTAATATAGTTGTTGATGTTCTTAATAAACCATAATAATTGTTGTCAATAATTTAGTATTAAGGTCTTTAGAAAATGGAAAGGGACACAAAACTTCTATATGCAGATCATTTGACATTCCAATTGTCAAAAGTATTAATGGTTATACTATATAGTTTAGATTGATCAAGATTTCATTGAATTATGTCAAAAATCAATGAGATTGTCAAAAAGAATATGAGTGTTATTGATTCTATTAACGAAACTTTAGAGAGTGATAGTCCTGATATATCAATAAATTTTTTTCTTTACCTATAATCTCATTGACATAAAAAATAGCTGAAACTTATAATAATAATAATATTAAAATCTTTTCAATGTGTTCGCACCTTAACAATAAACTAGTCTAAATTTGGAAATCACATTTCCAGGTTTGGTTAGCGCGAGCCGATTCAAATAATCCATGCGTGTTAATGTAACGATCTATAGATCTCCATTTTTTCAAAAAAAAAAAATATGCCATCTTGTAAAAAGATTCGTGAAGAGTTGATCGATTGCATGCTCAAGTCAGATTGTGTACTAGTTAAAAGACTTACTATTAAAGGTGTGAACAATTACTTTATAAAATGTGCATGGGAAGCAAGTGAATTATTTAATTGACTCTAAAAGCATCCAGATATTCATTACAAAATTTCTTTATTGAAGAATGTTTTAAACCTGAAAATTATGATGACGTTCCTAGAGATTGTCATAGTATTCGTAAAAGCTTTTTTGAGTGTCGAAGAGGTTTGGTAATTGTTATTATTATTATATATTAATTAATAATAGATTATATGTAATATTTATTTTAGATTGAATATAATCCAATTTATTATTATTAGTTGGATATGAGAACTAGATTTCGTGGTAACAAATCATGAAATTGGATAAAATATTCGAGGATTAATTGATTTGGATATTATGTTTATTATTATAAGGACATTTCTTTATTCTAAGATTTTTAGATTATAATGTATGTAAATATAAATATAATGTGGATTCCTATAAAGAATTTTCCACAAAATCAGAAACAAATCAGGCGTTCATATTTTACTGGATTATAAAAGATGATAACTGTTAAAGGACAAAAATCAGTAATAAACACCAATTTAGGAATACCTGATTTAAATTCTTTTTTTTATTTACAATCCTGATATTATGAGAATCAGCGATTATTTTTATTTATTATTAAAATTTACAAATGATACCAAAATTGTTTTTTTTAATCTGCTCATATATTTTATTAGAAAATAAAGTAAAATTAATATGATGCTATTCCTCTTAGAAATAGCCAAAGATCCAAACAAAATATATGAAGTTTAGCCAATGAAATTAAATGTCCACTATGCTTTGAAAATTACAAACATGATCGATCAACAATAGTAATTTGTCATGTGACAATTGCATTTATAATTTTTTTTAGGAAAATTTCAATAAAAATAATAAATGTCTACTTTAAGTGTTGACACTGAAAAAAATAAAGACAAGATTGACCAAATCATCAA